CTTTCACTACTTGCAATGACTTGCTGGTTTTGACTGCCGAGACTGACTGCGAGGCTGTACAGTACCAGCGGTAGGGTAGGTTCGTCAATTTGTTTGGCTGAGGGTTAACCGAGAGACCTACCTGTACGGAAAATTCGTCAGGGACATATCTGTAAATATGGGAAATATAGGCCCAACAGTAACCCGAATTTCCTACAGCTACCCCTACTGCGTAGCAGACCCGGGCTACCCCTAGGACGGACAGGCCTGAGTGGCCTATACCGATAGACGGTCCTATAGCCTATAGCCGGGTAGGGAGAGGCCGAGAGGCTGAAACTGGAACGGTACCGGTCGGTCCAGTCAGTCGGGTCTAGGTCTAGGCTAGGGTAGTGTAGATCTATTAATAGATTAGGAAAATCAGTTCAGGACTTTTGGCTGTTCATTCTCGCGAAGCAGCGTTTGGAGAAGCCAAGCAAGTTGGCGGTGGCAATTGTCTACAGGCGGCATCCTGAGACCCTTGCCTAGGACGGCAGCCATAGCCGGCCTTCTGAAGGTTGTCAAAGCTGGGACATCCTCAGCGCATCTACCCTGGGGGTATCTGCGTTTGGCCAGGCTATATCGAGGCTCTTCACTGAGTGTTTGTGGGTGGCGGCAGCCATAGCTGCCTGTTTCTTTGTCAGAGTTGTTCATTGGCACTGAAGACTTCATCGCATGATCTGTTCTTCATCGGGGTGGTTGGCGCTGGCCTCTGGGAGGCCATTTCGGTGTTGCGCTACTAACTGGGTGTAGGGTAGAGAGTGGAGTGTGGGGTTCTGAAAGTGGCGAGACACTGGAACAAACTCTGTAACGATATCTCGTTAATTGGCTCATCATCAGTGTGAATTCCAATTGTTATCCTCGCAGGTTTCTTCTTGTGATTGGTTGTTGGGAGTACTGTCAGAGAGTGAGGAACACAGGGTGTCTTCTCCCCACCTGTGCACAGTTGTATTAGGCTGCCTACTTTGATCTGTGTACAGCCTGGACTCTGTCTCCTCTCCCCTTTCTCTTATGCATGTATGGGCGTGTATGAGACTGCCTGTGTGTGAGTGGCGGTGAAAATCGTCAGACAACCAAGTTCATAACAGTTGGTATCGGAGCGGGATTGGAATTGGAGCATTGAGGGTTGAGTGCAACGGAGGCATCTTCTTCATTTGGTGAACTACTGGCAAGAAGCTTCATGGCGATGCATCTTCTCCAGTACCGAGACAGTAGGGAAGAAGAGTTCAAGCGGTGAATTCAGGAGTTCAGTGGTTGCACTGAACAAGTGCACTGAGCCTGCCAGGGCTCTTGCAAGGAAGTGGCGAGAACAAGGCTAATTCGCCATAGCCAACCCTGAGGGCAGTATTGTGAATTGCCTCAGAGTGGGACTTCATGGATCTCTGAGCGGCTTCACCCCTGAGCATCACCGAGGGAGATTGACAGTCTGTGTCAATCTCAGGTGAAAATAACCTCATCTGAGGCTATTTATAGCATCAGCGGCTGTGGTGACCGGTGGCGAGATATTTCCTGTTGACCTTCTAGGCGTCACAGGGTCAGATTCAAGAAATCTGGCAAAAGGGGTTGCAGTGCTTCAGAATCATGAAGAGGATCACCAAGTTTGAAGAAGTTCTGTGCGTGGAAGAGTGCGGAGAAATCTCTGGATGAAATTGGCGAGATGAGGGTGTCAGCCTGCCATAGCCAGATCTTCACCCAGCTTTGCAGAGAACTTTGAAAGTGAGTCCATTCCATGCACATACCTGTATAGCGATTCAGATAGGGTTAGAATAATTGGTATTCATGGTCTATCTGTCTGACAGTGACTGGATTTGAAAATCGCAGACTGCATGACAACCATAACCATCACTCTCCTACCTTCCTCTGCTCATTTCTTACCCTCGGTTGACTTTTTTCATCCAAAATTGTTTTGTGACTGCCTGACTGTATTGCGATTGATCTGGGATGCTCAGATTGGGAATTATGTACTGGAAACACAGAGATACTATGAATTGCAATTTTGCTTTGAGTCTAATTATAGCCTGTGCTAGCTAGGGTCAGTCATAACTTCAATTATGTCCGTCAGAATTCAATTCTGTCAGTTGCCAATGAATCACAATCCAAAAATAGTCAGTATTGCAGGAGGGCTCGATTGGGTTTGCAGTATTTCACTGGAAACAATGAATAATGTAGTTCGCCATACCTTAGGGTATGGCCGCTAGAGTCATCAAGGCAGAAATTAGGGTTTGGGCTAGGATGTAGGGTCTCTGACTGAATCGCTCTATTGGTTTGATCATTCTTGTCTGTACTTGCCATCTTCTTTCATTCCCACTAACTACTCGTGTTTTCTAGTGGGCTCTGGAAATCTAGGGTATCTTTGGAACTACTGAAGTGGTATATGCGAACTCCAGTGTGGTGCAGGGTCAGTAAAAGGAAATCGTGTGATTGATTTTACTGGACTAACTGTCTGTCTGACCTCTGACCCCAGAGGGACTGTTCCAACCCAAATCGCTTGTTGCCTATTCACCCACCTGACTTCTATGTCTGAGACGGCGGCGATTTCTGAGTGTTTATAGGAATCTTTATATCGCTGCATACTCAACTGCTGTCTGTTGATTTCGGTGTTTTTGAAAGAGGAAAATGGCGGACCAGGGTGCTCAGCAGCAGCCACAGGTAGAAGTAGTGATGAAGGTAGAAGAACAACAACCTTCTACCTCCACCCCTACTCCTCCTCTGACTGCTACTCAATAGAAGAAGAAGGAGTTGCAAGAAAGGCTGCAGCAGAAGCAGGCCCTGCTAGCAGAATTTGAGCGGCAGGAAGC